TAAAAATCCAAACAAACAAATAAATAAATAAATAAATAAATATTTATAAGGGGACTTTGAAGGTTGGACACTAGAGGGAGCTAGTAGATACAGAAATGAATGGAGCAGAAATCTATAATAAAAGTTTTTGAATATTGGTCTCCCAAACTTCTTAAGATAAATTTATGAGATGGACAAAGCATACTTAATGAAGTTACAGAGGAAGAACAAATTTCAACGGATAATTTTGAAATTATTTTGAAGGGGGACTTAAATATGACAAGCAATGAAAAGGATATGGAGAAAGATATGGACACATAAATGGAACTGATGGCTGACGTATTCTCTAAAAGCAATTACAAACATTGAACCAGAAAATTGATTTGGATAACTTTTTTTCTAACTGGATACACAAGAGTTGTCCACACTGCTAACATCGAATGTTCTTGCTTTGACAACAGATGGAAATGTAGCCATCTTTTCTCTTTCGCTTTTAGAGTTAGATGATGCTGGGAGGGGGGATGTGGATGAGAGTCCAGCTAGTCATAACAATAACTCAGCTGTGGGAATCCAAGGTTATTGCACCCAGAGTTGATAAAGATTTGGCGGGCTGGAGAACTGGAGAGGAAGCCCGTGCTTCAAGCTAATTGAGGAATGTGATTTATGACTGTTAATTGGAGGAGGGAATTGTGCTTTGCTACTTTGTGCCAAAAGGGAGGAGAATTCAGTTTTTGGCTTCAACTATGTAGTGTCGATACTTTGTTTCTTGAATAAAAGATTCTTTAAGGTAAACAATGTCTCAAAGTTCTTTTGAAGAGTTCCATCTGTCGGAACCATGACAAGAGTGTTATTAAGGTGTTGAAGGACTTTATTAAAAGTGAAAAATAGAAATACAAACTTTACTTATTGGATATACAAAAGAAATGTTAACATTTTGAATGGTTTTTGGCTAGAAGATGAACAGAAAATTAACTCTGGGACTCTTTTTGAAGCAGTTAAAAATTAAGATTCTTAAAAGGGGCGTTGTCTTACTTGAATGCCTTTTCTCAGCATGGTCTGATTGGGCTAGAGGACTTCTAATACCCATGCGTGGATTCTACATTCCTTCCATGCTGGAGAAACTCAAGGAAGAAATACAAAGTTGGCTTATTTGATTGGGGCTAAAAGGAACAATTATATCTAATTGCTTTTACTGGACTTTTTTAGCTGAGAAAGAACAACTGACAAAACATTTGGATTTTGTTTTTTTTACTTAAATAAGCTATGGGATGAAGAGACTGTATTTATATTAAATACAGTTAAAATTGCCTTTACTTGCTGGGATAAAGGGGGAAATTAGTTGCTTCCCCCCTTTTTTTTCTTTTGTTCTTTTTTCATACTTCTTTGTATTTTACTATCTGTATTTTTCTAGCTTGTATTTGATTCTTTTCATCCATAGTTTTTAATAAAATCATTGGGAGAAACTATCTCTCTTCCCATTCTCATTTAACAATTCACCTACTACATAAGTTCATCCATAATGAAGATCACATAAATTATATTTACATTTACTTGGCTTCATCTGGTTACAATTCTCTAGTTGAGAGCATGTTGAAGTATGAATTGTGAAATCCGATTGCTATTTATCAGTATCCTGGAAGTATACACTTGGTTAAATATTTTTTCTTTAAGGATTCTAGTACTTATACACTTCACGTAAGTTGTAAAGGATAAAGAACAAGCTATTCAGAGATCATGTCAATTCCTATGCTGTATAACAATAAGAAGAGCTCAAATGGGGAAAAAACTACCGTGGATACAAATCCAAGGGTTATTGTTCCAATTCATTTTCTCTGTCGCTTTAGCTACAATATAACTGCATTTCAGCATTCCATAGCAGGTGGCAGTATTTGGCTCAGTTTATCTGAATTCAGAATTTAGCCCTTGGATGGGAGACTCCAGGGAAAGCCATGGCAAATAATTTTTATACTGCTGCCAAGAAAAGAGCAGGGATGTGCCCACAAGGCTTCCAGGAGCCAAGCCTGACTCAAAGGAATATTTTTATGCCATACTGTCAATGCTTGAAACTCACATCTGGATAAGGTTAACTAGCGACCTTGATACTTCAATAAGAAAAAAAATCTCGAGAGCAGTAGCATTAAAATTCCATTAACAACTTGGGCGGTTTTGGGAAGGTCAGTATTTCCTAGCTTAGCTTCATTTCTTTAATGAGAATTCAATGCCTTCCTTTACATTTAAGATTTACATTTCCAACGGGAGGATGTGCTTTCTTTTAATGGCAAGTAATGGATAACAATCTTTTACCAATTTCCAAACACACACACACACAGACACACACTTGTGTAATATTTGTATACTTAGAAGCCAATCATTAGTTAAAATGACATCAAAGGCAGATAACATAGCCCAGGTCTTTCCTAAGGGCTGTCCCATATCAAAAATATGTATTGCTTGCTAATAAGCATTTTGTTTTAGAGCAAAATATCTGTTCTATCGCACTGACTGCTAGGCTCAACATACATCACTTTATTTAGCCTTCAGTCTGTCCCACCAATTCTACATAAGTCAGTGCTTTATCATCAGGTGCTGATATACTGAAATCCAGGCACACCCACATTAGTAGACCTTGACTAGGTTTAAGCCAATATTTGGAAACACAGACTTTTGGAAACAACGGCAAAAAATCCCCACTATGATCTGGAATGGAGTCTCTCTATAGCTTCCTCCCCATTTGCAGTTGCTTTTACTATTCAGTCCAAAATATAATCGGAGCAGAAGCAGAAGTGCTCTGAAGAGGATGCTCAAAGGAAGTGGATAATGTAACTGGAGTGGAAGGAGGAAAGAATAAATGAATTGAAGTGAGAAGGAAATATCAGGCAAAACAAGCCAGTAGAAAAGCCAATTAAAAAAAAAGTTTAGGAGATCTTAGAGTTTAGCCTTAGAATTGGTTTGTAAACTGAGATCTTGCAACAAAGAGAAACAGTATTATAATGTTGCAACATTTGGAGAAGATTTCACAGCATATCTTTACTCCAGCCTTCCCTACGATGTGTTGGACTTCAATCTCTATACAGGTAGTTCTCAACTTACAACAGTTCACTTAGTGACCATTCAAAGTTATAGGAGCACTGGAAAAAGTGACTTATGATCATTTTTCACACTTATGACTGTTGCAGCATCCCCATGGTCATGTGATTTACATCAGATGCTTGACAACCAACTCACATTTATGACGGTTGCAGTGTCCCCAGGGTCATGTGATCCCCTTTGGCAACTTTCTGACAAGCAAAGTCAATGGAGAAAACCAGATTCACTTAACAACCGTGTTACTAATTTAACAACGACAGCGATTCACTTAACCCAAATGTGGCAAGAAAAATCATAAAATGGGGGGCAAAACTCACTTAACAAATTTTTCACTTAGCAACATAAATTTTGGGCTCAATTGTGGTGGTACGTTGAAGACTACCTATAATTCCCAGCCAGACAGAATGGAGATTGTGAGAGCAGAAATTCAGGGCAGTCACCAGATATTAAATAAGGAAGGCTCTCCCCCCCCCCCCTAGATAGGAAAAGATGTTTTGACTGACAGCAACAAGTCAATTAGTGCTCCTCCAAGGGAACATCCCTGGAAAAGATAGAAAGCCTCTATTGTGGTGTAAAGGAGGAGGTACAGACGGTGCCTAGGAACTGATCTGATTTCCTCCCTGCCTGCTGCTTTTGTGGCCTAATTCTCAGAAGCACCTGGTGCGTTTTCCGAAAGCTGCAGCAAAATCTTCCCAAACAAAAGCCGCATGAAAGAGGCAACTTGCTCTCTCATAGGCTCGCCTCTACTTTCCCTTCCAGGCTCTAGTCTATCGCATGCACAAGGACGAGGGGGGAGTGACTGCAGCATCGCGGACCAACACCATCATCATCACGATCACACCATCCAGAGTGGAAACAGCAACAAAGAAAGCGCCCAGCCTTGCTTTCTCTCCGTGCCATCTTGCTCTAGATACCTGCGCCTTATTTACGCACGCAGCACCAACAAATCCATGCAGGCACACACATCGGGATCGGGGTAAAAAAAACAACAACCCAAAACCCAAGGCCACGACCTTCCGGTGGCAAAAAAACCCAAACCATTTTGTCCCCCCTCCTTTCCCCCACTGACATTGGAAAGGGAATCCCAGAAACCCGGAACGAAATGCAGCAGCTGGCCAAGGTGGGCTTTCAGGGGTGGGAGGAGGGGAAGAAGGGAAAACTGCCTCCGACCCAGCGGGGGAGAAAGCGAGTCCCGCCAAACAGGAGAAACGCAGCGGGGATCCTGCCGCAGGGCTCCCCAAAGCACCCGCGTAAAGGGCGAGAGGCAGCGCCAGCCCCGCGCCCCCCGCTCGCCGCCACCTCTGCAGGCGAGAGCCTGCGCCAGATCGCCCGGAATCCCGAGCAGCGACGCAGCCGCCGCTTCCATTGTTCTAGGGCAAGGCAGAGGGAGGAAACGAGCAAGCACCGCCGCAGATCTCTCCCGACTAAACAGATCCCGAGTTGTTGGAGAGGGAGAGCTCAGGAAAAAAACACGGAAAGCCATTTCCCAAAGGATTCCTCGGGCTGACCCAGCTTCCCTTGGAAACAGGGTTTAGGAGTGGTTATCGCTGCGGGTGGGGGTGGGGGGTGGGGGAGACAGGGGAAGGAAAGCGATATTGCAATGGAAGTAGGAGCGACAACCAGGTGGCTTACCCGGCGTCCAAGGCAGAGCCGCTCCTCTTCGCCTCGCAGCCCCTGCTTCCCTCCGCTCCTCCAGCGCACTCGGCTCTGGCTCCGTTCCCCTTTCCTAAATAAAGACGCCTTTCGCCTCCTTGGATTGGCTCGCGGCTCCCTACTCCAGCTTCTTCGAGGCTAAAAGAAGCGAGAGAGAGAGAGAGAGAGAGGGAGGGAGGGGGGAGAGCGAAGAGGCGTGGCCTTTTGCCCGGTGCCGGCGACAGAGTCTCGGCTTCTACGCATGTGCGCCTTTTTCCTCCCTTCCCTGAAAAAGCTGTTTTGCGCCTGCGTGCTCGGGAGAACCTCTGGCCCGGAGACCGTGTGAGTGATAGGGGTTGGGAGAGAAAGAGGGGGGGGGGCTCGTTTCGGGGCGGGAGCGGCTCCCTGTTTTCCTTGCGGCTTCGAGCTGGAGGACTGGACTAACTAAGGACGGGGCTTCATGCTACTGATGGGAAAGAAGTTAGGCCGTGCGGGGCGGTCGTATATACAGATCCTTTTGCGGGCAAGCCCGCGAGTTTGTGCGAGGCTCGCTTCTAAGCCCCAGCCAATGATTTTAGCATTGCAGCCTTAATCTCGAGAAGGCCTCCTTTGCACCGCAACCTTGAATGCTAACTCGGGCGTGGAAAATCGGGACGATCAGTTTGAGTAGAATTGCAGCCTTTTGGTGCGATTTTAAGTAACTTTACTTACAAATAATGGCTGTTGCATTTTATAGGACATCACTCGTGCGGAAGTATCTTTACGGTTTCGAATATAAACCTTCCAAAGATCAGAAGACTGGGATCTTGTCTTTGTTTGCTGAGCAATAAGTCCCGGGATCAGCAGAATTTCGAAATAAGATTACATACGTAGATGGCATTAAGCCCATTAAATTCAGGAGTATTAAACCAGCTCAGGCTTGAGGGTCTCCCTTCGGTCAGTGTTCGGAATTACAGCAATTTCCGTCCTTTACTGAAAACAAAGTCCTCCAGGTTTCATGGAGGTTTCTCCCAAATAAATGTGTAGAAGAAATTTGCAGATCGGGCAAAAAGTAATAATGCTTTATTTTAAAATCCGGAATTTGGAGAAATGGAGACCATAGGCAACTCTCTCTTTATCCCGATACATTTTCTGCCTTGGCTGGAGGGTGTCTTTTTTTTTCTTTGAAGACCTTAATGTAGTTCCAGTTCCCAGGCTTGAAGTTGTTGCAAGCCTAATCTGGATCCTGTAACAAGCACATTTAGTGCCTGTTTTGGCTCTGGGATGACCTATTACCCATTTTGAAAAGAAGATTCACAAAAGAAGATGGATGAGAAACTTTCCCTCCTTCCTGGTCCAAGATTGTAGTTTAAGCACCCATGGCCAATGATTTTATCAGAAAGAGGCAACAAAGAGAATAGGGCAACAAGTGGCAATTATACTTGGATTGCCAAGAGTAGCTGGTCAAACATGAAGGACAAAGAACCTGAGTCTGCTTTTTTTCCTTAAAGCTACAGTAACATAAAAATAGCAAAATTAACAAACAGGAATATCAAATTTTGATAACAATATTCTTGTGGATATGTTAAGCATGATCATCTTCAGCAGATGTATTCAGTATGAAGTGTAATGGTAATGTGAATGACTCTTGCTAAGATTTCATCTGCATGCTTCAGTTTTAAAATTCTAACAGATACTGCATGAGATTTACCCATGTTTTCTTTCCTTAAAGTTGGGATAGGAGGAAAGGCAATTTAGCTTTATGTTTCATGGGAGAGGGGATATATGCATAAGAAGCTATGAAAAGGTATGGATAAGGAAAATAGAAATAAGAAAAATGTCCAGGTAAACAAAAACTGTAGGATGGACTAGAGTTTGCTGGCATCAAATTTAATAGCAACTAAATATTTCTTTTTTAAACTCTAAACAGAAGATTGGTAGGAAACTCTCTGACTAGCTTCTGACATCCATTAAATGTAGTCTGACAGTTAATTGTTGCTTACAATTAACATGAAAAACACAGGTAGTTGTCATTTTGTGATCATCCACCATTACAACAATGATGAAAATGTAATTTTACAATCAATCCTTGTTTTAACGACCTTTGCAGGTTTGTAAAGCAAAGGAAAGCTGAAATAAAATAAGTACAGTTGTGGTTTAGCGACCACTTTGCTTAATGAACAAATTGCTGGTCCTAATTGTGGTTGCTAAATGAGGACTAACCTGTACCATTGTAGAAAACAATTTTAGAATCTTAGTGATGTCCACAGATTCAAAGAGTTGTGGCTCAGTGCTTAGATTTACTTTGTGGATATCTCACTTTTTCTCTCAAGGCAACAGAGTTGGGATGGGGTCTCCCCTAATTTTATTCCCACATTAACAGCCCTGTGACAGAAATAGAACCCAGAGGAGGGAGGCAAATCCTGTCATGATTTGTGTCTGGGAGTGAGATAACTGAAATGGTTTTTGAGTACTCTCTTACTTGCAGGGGATAGCAATAATTAAATCTGACAAACACGGAATGGATGAATAAGCAATGGCAGCGAGTTCAATATCCAACTGCAGTGAAGGGGCTTTCACATATAAAGTAGAAATAGATTTCCAAATATTGTTAAGGTGGGCTAGCACAAACCTACCCCCCTTCTTCCCCAAATAAAATAGTTGAGGAGAGCTCTCTTTTTGGAAAGTTTGGAGAGAAGTTGAAATGGGAGGCAGGTAACAAAAGAGTCTAGGAGACATTGTGGTCATGGGGATTAAAAAGCCTACAGTGGAAGCTACAATATTCTTCTGTCAGGACAAATCAGGAAAGATTGGAAGAACTGGATTTATGCAGCTTGGATGATAGAAGGGGAAGCGTGGGACACGATTGAAACCTTTAAATATATTAAAGATGTGAATAAGGTTCTAGACAGCAATATTTTCAATATTAAGCAAAAATCAAGAACGTGGAGGCATAACCTCAAACTGACAGGAGGGATGCACAAAAGTAGTGTTAGAAAGTATTCACAGAAAGAGTAGTGGAAGCTTGGAACCAACTTCCAGCGGAGCTAGTGGGTTAGTCATCAGTAACTGAGTTTAAACAGCTTGGGATAAACTCAAGTCTATCGTCTGACAAAACTTAATAAATAAAAAAATAATAACTTGGGAAGGATAGGTGGTTAAAAATGCCAAAACCAGGCTGACCTTACGATGAACTATAATAATGAAAAATAAAATAAAAAGATTAATAATTAAAAAATAATAAATAAATTAAAAAGAAAAAACCTCAAGGGGCAGATTCTGTGTTCCTATGTAACTCTTACAGTTGCTCACTTGATTTCTCCTCTAAAAAAATGGGTATTAGTGTTTTAGGCTATTATTTGATGATGTTGAAATAAGGAAGCAATACTCTGTTTTGATCAGTTCAGCCAGGGACAACTAAAGATGGCTTTGTTCATGAGTTGGCTTGATATAAGGGCAATGTCAGGTGACCAAAGAGAAAATGGATGTTGTGGAGAAATGCAGGTAGGGGAGGGCCTTTAAGTGCCATGCTTAAGGGAGTTATGAGAACCCCAGCCAATGAGCTGATAGAACAGAGAGGCAGTGATTGTCTCGGTGGCAGAAGCCTTGTGAGCTACATAACAGTGGACATTTTGTACCCAAGCCTCCCCTCACCCCTGCAGAATCCTTCAAACTTTGCTGAGATCCAGATGTATTGTTTTATCTCAAACAATTCTAGGTTAAAAATAATATTTGGTCTTGGCTGCCCGGATCTAAAGCTGAGATTGTGGCTTGGCAGAAGCCTTCAGTGCTTCTAGAGGAGAGATCAAAATGAGCCAGAGCCTTGAAAAGTTGTCTGTCTGAAAGATAATTTCTCACTCTGCAATTTGAGGAAGCAATTTGGTTGCATGTTGTTGTTGTTACAGAACAAATTGATAGCTTGGATTAATTTTAAGTTAATGTTTCTTCAGGGTTATCCAAGGGAACTGCCAGCAGAGGCTCTTCACTTTGACCTGGAAACAATCTCTCTTGCCACATTGCTGTGCTATCTGCTGTGCATGTGAATACTTGTTCAGCATTTGCAGGGTGTAGTCCTAGATTTATAAATACAAGATGTATGTTTCTGTCTGAAGTTCCAGTTGTTTGTGTGATAGTCTAGGCCAGTGTTTCTCAACCTTGACAATTTTAAGGCATGTGGACTTCAACTCCCAGAATTCCACAGCCAGCAATGCTGGCTGTGGAATTCTGGGAGTTGAAGTCCACATGCCTTAAAATTGTCAAGGTTGAGAAACACTGGTCTAGGCAGTTGTGCTTTTGATTGCATCATATGCCAATCAAAAGCAGCTGAGTCTTATCCCAGGATCTCAGGACAACCTTCCACAGCTGAAGCATAATCTCAAGGAAAGATGCCCTTTATTTAAGGCTGTATTCTTCAAACTTGGCAACTATGTGTATCAACTCCCAGAATTCCCCACCCAGCTGGCTTCCGATTGAATCCAAAGTGCTACTATGGAATTTGATATATGCAAGTATATTTCTTCAAAGATGGTTAGTTGTTTGATCCTGTGCAGGCTTTTGTCAGCTGCAGTAGGGATTTTTCCCCCCTAAGTGATTCTTAATTCTGTGTAGTATTCCAGGGGAGGATTTAGAAGAGTGGAAAGGAAATAGCAAAATCAACAAAAACTCTTTCCTAGGTTTTGCTAGATCAAAGATTCTCAGTGGAGAACACAACCTGATTTATTAATTAGGGCTGTTTCAAAAGCATTTGTATAAATTCAGTCAATAAGCTTTTTGGTCAATTAAAAATGTTTCCCTGAATAAGTGGGTAGCATATTAAAACTATGAAAGCACTTAGCGAAGCTAGATGGGACTGGTGTCTTCTTAGAAGAGATTGTGTATTGTGTCCTCTGAGACAATGCGCTCTAATACATGTGCACATCTTCAATAAGCAAATATGGACTATTCAGGAAGATTTAATAACAAGTGCCTATGTTATTTCTTTGTGGTCATTTTCTTTGGAAATATGATCCGAGGCTATACAGGTAATCTTCGACTTACAACAGTTCATTTAGTGCAGTGGTTCTCAACCTTTTTAATGCCACGACCCCAACCGGTCGTAAGTCAAGGACTAAACCGGTCGTAAGTCGAGGACTAAACCAGTCGTAAGTCGAGGACTAAACCGGTCGTAAGTCGAGGACTAAACCGGTCGTAAGTCAAGGACTACCCAACCGGTCGTAAGTCAAGGACTTTCCCTGCCTGGGAGCGTCGCGCATGCGTGGTTCCGCCCCCTGCGCCAGCCGAGGCATAGCTGGCAAGCGGCAGAGACGGAGCAGGCCGACCACCAGCTGGCCCGCCCAAGGGAGGTAAGGCACCCGCCGGAAAAGGGGAAAAAATGGCGGACAGCCTTGCTTGGCGACCCCCATGAAATGGTCGATCGACCCCAAATGGGGTCCCGACCCACAGGTTGAGAACCACTGATTTAGTGACTAAGAGCATTAAAAAACTGACTTATGATCATTTTTCACACTTATGACCGATACTGTATTGCCATGGTCATGTGATCAAAATTCAGATGCTTGGCAACTGAATCATATTTATGATGGTTGCAGGATCCCAGGATCATGTGGTCACTTTTTGTGACTTTCTGATAAGCAAAGTCAATTGGAAAGCCAAATTCATTTAACAATGGACTTACTGACTTTAATAGCTGCAATGATTTACTTAACAACTATGATGAGAAATGTCGTAAAATGGGGCAAAACTCGCTTAATAAATGTCTCACTTAGAAACAGAAATTTTGGGCTCAATTGTGGTCGTAAGTTGAGAACTGCCTGTATTCACACGTCAAACTCTATGTCAAGGAATCCCCTTTGGATGGTGGACCTTGTACTTTGTCATTGTTCTGTGTGTATCCAGATACACACTCATATACATATATTCATATGATTTGAATTGTGTATAAATAATTAACAGTTCCCTTCTCTTTTCCCTCACTAGCACATAATGAAAACAGTAGAAGAGAAGATAAAAACAAAAAAATTAAGTGTTATCTTGTCACATACTGTATATGTTACAAAATTAAACTCAAAGTTACTATTAACGTTTACAAAATCATCATCCTCAACTCTGATGTGGCTCAGATATTAACCTGTCTGGATAAAACTGTGTGACTCTCTTCCCCCATCACTTTCAAACAGAATTTTTTGTGGCATTTATCACTGTTTACAATACATCCGAGATTAATGAGATTTGCAGTCTTTTAATTCAATCAGTGAATTAAAGTTGGTTTCAAGTACTGATTTTATTTTTTCATTGTCAGTGTGATTGACTAACTTGCAACCAGATTGCAAATAGATGCAAAGAAATTTAAGGGACTCTGGTTCTGTTTCCATTTATAATATATTTCAGGTAAGGCTGCTAGAAACTTAATGGAGAGAATTGAATTTTAACTTACATTATTTTCAGTTTAATTACACATTACTTGGCTACATAAAAATAATTCATTGCTTTGATATAATGCAGAATATTTGCTCATCAGTTTTTCAAAGCAAACTCTTGTACACTCTTATATTCTCAAAAAAGCATGCATAAGACTTTAGCAATTAGAAACAGTTGTTACATTGGTCAGAACATAACACATATGCATTCTTCAAAACATCTGAGCTCATCCTTTGCATTGTGAAATGTTATGAATGATTGTGAAACAGGAAGGATCCGTCTTGCCCAGTATCCTTAATATGTTAAAAAAAGGTTTGCTCTATGATTCTCAAGAAACAACCGGAAGCACACCCAGAACAAACTGAAGCAGTGTATCTAATATTTGTGTAGATGGCTTTTGTAAATTAAATTTCCTTTTCATTGTGGGCTTTAAATTGTATGAAAAGAATCAGACCTTCCTCCAAACAGCTTGGACTGGAAATAGTTCATCTAACAGACAATCATCCAAAATCTCTGATCAAACAGTCTTTTATGGGGAAGGTCACAATGACAACACAATAATTCCCGTGAGTTCTCCACTTCTCAATGAAACACCTCTACATAGGCAATTGTGGTGGCAACATTAATTATCTTACACTCTTACTTTGTAAGGGATTGAACAGGTGAGGCCAGTTCCATCTGTTCACTGTTTAGGTAACTTAGTCATCCTATCTGTGAGAAAGAAATCTCATGGAGGCAACCGTTCTCTTGAGTGGGATAGAAAAGATCTATGAAATATTCTGGGGGAAGGTGTTCTTTAGGTGACTTGACACTTATATGGTGTAGCAGTGCTTCTCAAACTTTTTTCCTTCAGTATCCAAAACTCCTTATCATAATGTTCTTATTTAAATGTCCCTGTTGGGATTTGGTAATGATTTGTATGTCATAACCCCCCAAAACCCCCACAAACCCCCACTTGTACCTAAGGTTGGGTAATTCACCCAAGTTTACGAAGTGCTGTAATATATCAGTCCATATTCATATCCATGGGCTTTTGAGAATCTTGGTGCAAGCTTTCAGAAACTCCTCAGTTGAGGAAAGTGAGGTGCTTCAAATTCTTGTGAGATGTTTGAGAGGAAGCATAAAATATTATGGTGCCAGAGCGGTTGGTACCTTAAAAAGGTAAGGTAATTGCACATTCTTATTTTTTCATGTCAAGATAAAAATATTTTTAGAAAGATCTCAGCAGGAGAATAAACTAATACAAATTAGTCTTGGTGTCACTGTGTTCATCTACATAATTTGGAGGACTCTAAGGCTTTGTTAGTTGGAATCCAGCTTTCAAAAATTGCTCTATTGCCTTGCGTGAAGCCTGCATGAAATCACTGAGGATTTTTAAAACTATATTTAATAAAGTGGTATTGTAACATTGGCTTCTGTTGGCAGATTGTCCCCCCAGAACAAAAGGATTTTCAGTGTGGTTATTTACAAACTCTAAACTGGGACATAATTGGGGGACAGTTTTTTTTTCTGAGCAACTGACAGATGCTTGCAAAGATAACATGAATATGGAAGTGAGGAGACCTTGCAGAAAGGCTTAACACAGTGTTTCTCAACCTTGACAATTTTAAGGCATGTGGACTTCAACTCCCAGAATTCCACAGCCAGCATTGCTGGCTGTGGAATTCTGGGAGTTGAAGTCCATATGCCTTAAAATTGTCAAGGTTGAGAAACACTGGCTTAACAGTTGGAGGAGATTTTGTCTACATTTGTTGAGTCTTTGCTAATCTTGCAGTTTTACTCCCAAACTGGCCTACTTTACAATCTAGCTGTGACAGTCCTGTTTTAAATGATTTATGGATTTTGCAGGTAAGGAAAGGATTGATCCCTCCATCTTCCCTGTAGGTTTTGCTTCCCCAAATTTGCCTTGAGGAATAAACATATGTTTGAAAACCCAAAGCAGTTTTAAAAATATGTATTCTCATGCTTAGATAAAGTCATTCTTTCCGTTCTTTGTGCAGTTTAGTTTGAATTCAGAGTGGATTTGTACCCAAATAATTCCTAGCAGATAAGGGGAATGAGATAAAATAACAATTCTTGAGTCAGAGTGTTCAGATGATTTCCCTTTATGCTGATGTAAATGGTTGATTATAAGAGATAAAGTAACTTCAATTATGGCTTAACATTAGAAAATAATTGTGCTTGATGTTTCTATTCATGACAACTATGCTACTAGTAATGAGAATGGTCTTGTGTCAAAACTCACTTTTCAACATATCAGCTTTATACTCAGAATACAAATTAATTCTTGGTGTAACAGTTATTTTTGATCAGTGGATATGATTAAAAAAATGAAATGTCAAGGCCTGCTTGAAATAAAATGGTTTATTATTCTATAAATAACAAAGAATTGCAGATATCCCTTTTCTTGCCTATCTTATATTCTTTCTGTAATCTTTAGAGGAGAGTCTCCATGTAACAGCCAGTTGGAAATTATCAGTTTGGGAAAAAACTTTACATTTGGAGGAGTACAGAAGAAATTGCAATCAAGAAGCATGTCCCCTTCCAAATGCCTTTGATCCATTTACTCAATATGCTAAACCTTAAAACCAGGTTAACCCAACAGAATTGCTATGTCCACATAATATGCTATGCCTCAATAGATAAACCATATTATATGCAGCGGGTGATTTCCTGCGACATTTCATCTTAGTCAGCATGTGGTACAAATCAACATGTGGTGCAAATCACATGTTGAGGGATGAAAAGACAAAAGAAGAAATATTTATATTTAAAAAAGGAAGCAATAACCCCTAATTTTGTGCACGGGTAATTTTTGTTTATAAATTGCATTGAAAGTGGTTCTTAAGTATCCAGGGTCTTTGAAAAAATGGCACAGGATGAAAAATCTAAATTGGATTAGGATTAAATTTTAATCCTAATTTCTGAGACTATGTTAATTTCAGATAATGGATCTCTGCTGGGTATTTTAAAGTTATTTTACAGCAATTTAAAGCATGTTGACATCTCTTAAAAACCATTACATATTTTTTTTGGAAATTGTTCGATTTTAAAATAAAGGGGAAAACTAACAAGAACTAATAACATAAAAATAGACAAAAAGAAAAAAGTAAAGAATGGAAAAGAAAGCCAAAGCGGAAAGTGCAGAAAAGTACTATATGATAGGTCTTAGATAGAGAGGCGTTTCCCACCACACAGAATTTGGGGTGTCTGAAATGCTTCAGAAATTTCCTGACAGAACAATTAATCACTGGAACAACCTGCCTCCAGAAGTTGTGGATGCTTCAACACTGGAGGTTTTTAAGGAGACTGGACAGTCATTTGTCTGAAATGGTATAGGGTAGGGGTAGGCAGTCATCATATCCATATATCATAATTTCATTTTTTTTCTGTTTCAGGCAGAAAGTCCAGAAGGGGTTTCTAATCGGAGTTAAAATTAATGTCTTTTCTCTAATCAAAGCTGTCAGATTCACCATCTCAGCCAGCTCCAACAACTTTCGCCCTCCATTCTTCCATTGTAAGTAATGTCAGATCTTTCCACCTTTGTGCATACAAACATTTTGCTGAAGAAACAAGATACCATGAGGGTTTCCCCCCCCCCCCCAGCTGTTTATCCATCAGTCCCAAAAGAAGTACCTCGGGTTTCTATTTTATATTGGTCTTTAAAATCTGCATTAATTTGAATCCTTTTTTAAAAAGCATTTTTACAGCTCTACCAGGCATGATAAAAAGATCCCCTCTTGTTCACATTTCCAACTTACATTTAAAGTACCTTTACCCATTTTAGACAATTTTTCCAGTAACAAATATCACTGCTCCATCTTTTCATAAAAAATATCTTTACAATTATAATGTGTGAATTTCAATCCTTCCATCCATGTATTCTCCCATTGTTCCGTCTGTATATTATATCCAAAGCTTTTACCCTGCTTTATCATAGGGGAGGGGGCAAAAAAGAAGAAAAATCTGATTTAATTGTAATTACCGGTAGGAAAATAAACCCTCAGAAGCCAAACATACACTTTATATATGGCATTTATATACAAACATGCAAAAAAGGAAGCAAAGCAGAAGAAAAATTATTCTAATATGGAAATGATAATTTTCAATTTCACTGTAATAATTCAGTGTTTTTAAAAATGAATTATACATGATCTATAGAGAATGCTATTACTTAGTCTTGCAAATTCTTGATACAAGGCTTGTCTGGTTTATTTTGTACCATTTTGTCATGAAGCTTTGTATTCCAGAATTCCAGTTGGAAAAGATTTAATCACTGAACAGAAAAAGAGTAAATTCCACCCCTGTATATTATTGGAATGCAGATAGTGGTGAAGCAGACTGCCCATTTACTTGATTTACATTTTTTTAAGGTAAATGTTCTAGCAGTGTGAAATTGTGAGATGAGCAGCTGCCTAAAATAAATAAATAAAGCAAATAAATAAGCAAATATTTACCACCTTGATTGCTAAGAACACTTTCAAGTAGGTAATTTTGATCCAGAAGATCTTGCTCTATGCATCTGAAAAATGTTTGTAATTCTGTCATATCTTATGAATCTACCAGACACTCCAGCATTTACAACACATATGTACACATATATACCATAAATTTAGTCTTAAATGACATCAGTATTTTGGGAGTGGCTTAAAAACTGGACAGATAATCTTCCTGATAGGTATTGTACATTGTATTTGGAAGCTAGGAAAAGAATAAAGATTCCATAAAGAATAAAAAATAAGTGCTTAGGGTAAAAAATAAATAGTGTGGTAGTAATGCAAATGTAGCTGAGTTATTAAATTGGCCAAAATAAACTTAGTACAGTATATTCACAGGACCTACATTAAAGGAGCTAATCAGAATGGGAATAATTGTGTTATTTTTAAAACATCTATATTCGTAAAATGGATTTCTATTCCAGAAGTATCATTGGGTGAGTTTTATTTGGTGACTTTTAAATTTTTTATTAAGCTTCTAAATTGCTGATTAGAAATCCCATATCACTACTCCATTGCAAATAAAGCAGTTAAACAAACGTACCTTTAGTTTTGGTACCAAATAAGCTTTTAAAATTCTGCAACTCACACTTCTTTTTTTTAAATGCTCACACTAGTCTCTCTGAAAAAGTAGTAAATAACAAAGAGATGAGCATCTCTGTCAGCTCTTTGAATTTTTAAAAATCTTGTTCCTTTTATAGCTGTAAAAACCAGCATTTCAGAACCCACTGGAGACCATCAGAGTAGAAAATGCTGTGCTAAATGACTATGCTCCTCCACAATTAGCAGTTAACAACCAGCAATTGTGAAAGCAGAAGGTTATTTTGACAATGAGGATCTGTGCCCTTGAAGAAAGCAGCCCTGCAGTGTGTTTTTCCCCCCCAAGTACAGTACCATTGTGTTATGTGTAACTGCCTTGCATTAATTCTGCTGTATTTATTTCTTTTGGGGGACAGTTTGGGGCTGTTGTGACTTAACAGTACGATGCAAGTATCAGATCTTTCAAGGGAATAATAGAATGAAAAAATTTGCTTTTCCCTGGGAGTTCACTCTATAATAAAAATTAACCTTTTTTTTGTTTGTTCTTTTTTTACCCAGGCTTCTTATTGGAATCCCGATGGTTCCTTTGTATCGATACCTGGGATTGGCTCTTCCCCAGTTAAGCAGAGCAACAAATCAACGAAATTTCAGGTATTTATTTTATTCTATTGATGCCCTGTCTTATCTCCAAAGTGTTTGGGACAATTTATATGTGGTGACCCTTCATTTTATTCTTATCATTATCCTGTGAAGTAGATTGGATTGAGAGAAAGTGATTGGCTCACTTTGTGGGTAGGAGGGGACTAGAATGTGGAAGATTTAACCCTGTACAGGTAGTCCTCGACTTAAAACAATTTGTACTGACTGTCAAAAGTTACAACGGCACTGAAAAAAAGTGAGTAATGACTGTTTTTCAGAGTTACAACTGTTGCAAGTATCCCCGTGGTCATGTGATCAAAATTCAGGTGCTTGGCAACTGGCATGTATTTATGACGGTTACAGTGTCCCAAGGTCATCGACTTTTGCAACCTTCTGACAAGCAAAGTTAATGGAGAAGCCAGATTCACTTAACAGCTGTCTTACTAAGTTAACAACTGCAGTGACTCACTTAACAATTGTGGCAAGCATGGAACCTTCTGGAAGGACGTAAAATGGGGCAAAATTTCCTTAACAGCTATCTTGCTTAGCAACAGAAATTTTGGGCTCAGTTGTGGTCATAGGTCAAACCACTATGTATTCAGGAGCTTGCTTAAAGCAGAAGCTTTCAGGCACACTTAATCGGTGATCGATGCAGTAAGCCTTATGTTCCAAAAGACTCATTAGATTTGGATAGGTAGAGGTATGTGCTCTTCCCCTTTTATCATTATGTTGCTGCTCTACAAGTATGCAGTCAATATTTCTGCAAAATACTTGATGTTCAAGAGGGAACGAAGACCCTTGACATTTGTGATTTATCCATTGTGTAATGAATAACTTGGTGGAGTGAGAGAAGCCATGAGAGAAAGGCTGGCTGTTCCTCAACTTTTGGAGTGATCCTTGAAAACTAAAAAGGAGAAATGGCCTCGGAGGCCCTGAAGCCACTTAAGTGTCTTCTGCAAAGGTCAGTATTTTGCAAGATGCAGTTCATAGCAAACATATTTTTAAACCAAGAACTCACCTAGAATATTCTTCAGAGTGAAAATATAAAATGGTTTGGTTCTGTTTTGTGTGGCTTCCTATTGCTACTATGTCTGTTTGGCATCTCCATATTCAAAGCCAGATCCAGAACACCAGAAGGTTCCACGCTGCTTATGGTCTGACATCACACTAACTTATAATATATTTTGTTTGATTTTGATTTTGAACTGTGAATTGAAGAGTTACAGTTTGTCAAACATGTTGTATAACCTTAGTGTGAATCAGGCTATTAGGGCTTACTCAACAAACTGACCAAAACAGAATATGCCATTATGAGATGGGAAAGCCAGCCATAACCAACTGACCTGAACCTGGCTTCTCCAGATTGTGATTTCTAGTGTATCTAGCCAACATGGTCCTTGGCTGAAAAAGTCCAATGGGAATAATCTTTGTTATAGATATGCAGCAGAAATTGAGACTTCCAGGGAATCTTGGAAGTGTAGCTGAAGACACATAATGATGGACCAGCTTTCTTGGAAGTTTAGTTTTGCATTATTTTTCAGTACAGATAGTCTTCAACTTAAAACCATTTGTTTAGTGACCTTTTAATTTACAATGGCACTGAAAAAAGTGACTTATGACCAGTTTTCACACTTACAACCGTTGCAGCATCCCCTACGGTCATGTGATCAAAATTTGGATGCTTAGCAACTGGTATGTATTTATGATGGTTGCAGTGTTCTGGGATCCTGATGAACAACACACTTTTGACAAGCAAAGTCAAAGGGGAAGCCAGATTCACTTAACAACCGTGTTTCTAACTTAATGACTGCAGTGACTCACTTAACAGTGGAAAATAAAATGGCGCAAGTTCACTTAGCAACTGTCTTGCTTAGCAATGGAAATTCTGGGCTTTACTGTCAAGGACTACCTGTAGTATACAGCCACAATGAAACATCCTGAGACATAAAATCAATGGAGCTGTGCAGTACCTTGGAAAAAGACGCACCCACAGAGCAGCTGCTGCTAACTCCTGAAACCAAGTGCCTTTTTTTATGGGATCACACTGCAGTAATAGAAAGCGGCCACAGCATCTCAGAGAAAAGACTTAGCTGCTTTGCTTTGAGGAGTGGCTGACTGGTGCCCTTGTGCTTGGAAATAGCTGTCGCCCTTTGAATCCAAAGAGCCGCCCTTCATGCACAGAGCTGCATTAAAGATTCCTCACATAGAAATCACTCCATGAGAAAAAAAGAGAATACGAATATATTTAAAACAGTAGTTATTAGTACTACTGTTAGTAGTTAGAAGTAGTTATTCTAAAGTCTGTTAGGATTAAAATGTGTGTCTTGCATAACTATAGAGTTTTTCTAAAAAAATAATAATAATCAAGTGATCTACTTTATAAAGGAAGCGCACCATACATAAATCGATTTTAAGAGACAGAACCCTGAACTCATTTGTTTAAACTCAAAAAATATGTGTATCACTTTTTAATTATGGGTGCAAGTACTGTAAAAATGAGTCAGTGACTCTCACAGTTTGCCTTTTCTCTCATTGTAAAAGTACAGAGCTATGCTGACTATATATTAAGTATATTGTCTATTTAGAAGTAAAGTCCCATTGCTTTGAAGTGGGGGTACTGCATGCTAAGTGTTGGTCGGATTGCAACTTGATTCCTTTGGCCAGATCCCTTCTGTTTAACTCTTTAATGCTAGCAAACAGAGATGGAGATGAGTATGGGGTAGCAAAGAACAAGCCAGGAAAGCTTGCCAAATAAAATATTTAATTAGTGTTAGGTTTCTGTGTGAGAATCAACCTTCATAATGGAATGGGTGCTTTCTTTCTTCATCTCTCACTCTCCACATATCTGCATATGTGGATATATGCATACACACACACACACACACACACACACACACACGCACTGTTAAAGTGATAGCATGTTCTCTAACATCTTTTTATATGTTTACTTTCAGTCCCTCATTGTTTATATTGCTGGTTTAACATTCTGGCATAGTATTGTTTTTATCCTGAAGGAGATTACCTTGATGCAAGTTTCTCAACTTGTTGCCTTCCAACTATATTGAATGACAACCCCCCCCCCCAGTCTTCCCCAAAATTATGGCCAGCATTTGGAGGGCACAAGGTTGGAGAGAAAAGAGAACCCTGTACTTTAAATGGATCCTGAAGTGACCTTGGTTTACTTAATGTTCCCGGGAGATCTATTGAGACTTCTCTCTTCTCTTTTATCAGCCTCAGCAATGTGTGCAGCTATATCCAGAAGCTGACTCGTGTGCGAGTGGTTGATAACAGCGCCTTGGGAAACACACCATATCACCGGCCTCCAAAATGTATCCATGTCTACACCAAAAACGGAGTGGGCAAAGTGGGTGACCAAATTCTTCTGGCTATCAAAGGGGAAAAGAAAAAGGCATTAATTGTCGGGTGCAAGTTTCCCGGACCTCGCATGTCTCCTCGGTTTGATTCTAACAACGTGGTTCTCATAGAAGATAGTGGGAACCCAGTCGGGACACGGATCAAAACGCCCATACCTTCTCTGTTGAGAAAAAAAAGAGAATTTTCCAAAGTGTTGGCCATTGCCACCAACTTTGTATGATCACCAGGGGAGACACTGTGTGACAAACAAAGGGATGTTGTGGGACTGTCCCTTGAGTTGCGTTTCTCTTTTCTTTCCCAGAATCGAGGAAGAAGTGTTTGAAAAAAAGAAGGAAGAAGATAGTGGGGGGGGGAGTGCTAAGACATCTTTGAGGAAATACACTTTCTGTTATTTTGGGTAACTTGTTCTTCTTGAACTAGTTTAATTAAAGATAAAGTGCTAAATAACTGTTTGTATGTTTTATGTTTTTGAAAGAGGTGGAAAAGGCTAAAAAGGTGGGAGGGCTATTAAGAGGGTCAAAAGAATCATCTGTTGTTCTCTGTTAATCTCCAGTTATTTTGGGGTTATTTCTTTCACAGTTTTATTCTGTTAAAAGTCTGTGCATTCTTCAGATTCCAACCAGCAATAACTTTATAAGTAAATTTCAGCATGATTTTATGCTATTGATAAAGAAAAATAAAAAGGAAACGGCAAATAAAGAATGTCATAAATAATATTATTATTCCCGCTTCTCTCCCTTTCTGACTTTCTTAGAAAATACCTTACTTTACTCTTACAATGAAGGTTCCCCACTATGTTGTTTTTTTCTGTCACATTTTCATTTCTTCTTTTGCATTTTCATAATTTGTCTTCCCTTGTTGTTTTACAGATACTTTCTGTGTGCTGAACTAAACTCATGATTTGGGATTTCACTAACCGATATGAAGGACCCAGGTCATCTTATTAATCAATGGGTTAAACATTATTCAGAGTTGAGAATAATGTATGTTTAGTTTATGCGTAAGATTTCTATCTTATCTTTCCCTCAGGAGCTCAAGGTAGCAAAGATAGCATTTCCTCACAACTTGTGTGAGATAGATTGGGCAGAGAGTCAGTGAGTGACTCAAAGCCCCTCAGTGAATTGTTATGGCTGAAGAGGTCCTGAAGTTGGTTCTTCTACAATCTAGTTCAGCACCTACATCACATTGTCATTTAAGGGTGGTAATTTAAATAAAAGTGTTAGAAAGAAAGTGTATGTGTATTGCATGCTTGCTTCCCCCAGACTAATGCTCTATAGATATGTCGTGCTCTCATCCTATGCAGGTTGCTGGTTCTGGATCATGGGAATTGTTATTCACTTGGAGACATGGATTGCAGAATGCTTCTGAAATGCTTTTTCAGAACTGAATACTGATACCATGTCAGTCTTTCTAGCCTTCATAAATTATGAGACCGTAGGATATTCAGTTACCCATGTACCATCAGGGTTGATTTCCAATTGCTTAGTCCTTTTTATCTTTGCCATATAAACCCCAATTATGTATTGATAGATTAATAAATTAGGGGCACTGAACGTAAATTATCCAGATCTCATGAGTGGATTTGTGGCCTCTGTGTTATTGAGGAATAGCTTCTGACTTCTGAGAGGTATTGCTATGCAAAACCTTTTCATCACTGGCATTCTGTTTTACTTTGATGCAGAAAATAAATTCTAACCAGAATAATCATGACAAAACTTTGGATTTCCACAACACGGAAGTGCAAATCTTTGGTTGTACCTACACAATATTTACACTCTGTGTAACTCTTCCAAAGGATTTTAGATCTAAGGGCTGATATTGTAGAAAAAAACCGTAAGATAGTAGGAAAAAAATTGGAGATTCAATATTTAGTATTTTAAAAGCAAAGTTAGCATGTAAAGAACAAGAGTGAATATCCTTAGTTGGTTTATTCCAGAGGTGGTTGGGGAATTCTGGGAATTGAAGTCCACAAATCTTAAAAGTTGTCAAGGTTGAATTCTCTTGGTTTATTCTGTGGGGAACATGGAGGATTTTTTTTCTCATTGTGCCATCTTGTGGTGATCCACGTCTATGTACTTCTGGCTTGATTTCAAGAATTTTGTTTTCGTTGAGAAGAGCTTTCAGTACTGAACATATGTAAAGTGCTTTTATTCCCCTCTATTAACAAAGCACTTAAGCAGTTGTGTTAAAGGAACAAAGATAAAAATCACTGAATTCCCTCTTTTTTATGTTTATTTGTAACATTTATTTATTTCTAAAATGTACTGGCTGCCCATCTTACCATATGGTAACTCTGGGTGGCTTATACAATCATAAAAATATACATGTACAATTAAAACATAAATAAATTAAAACCAATAATTAAAATATAAGGGCATGTGTGGAGGGTGGGGGCAGAGTGGGGGGAGGTGAGATCTGTTATTACTTGATCAACCACTTCCATTGCCTTATTCCCCCACTGGGGCCCAAAGCAATTAGCAGAGCCAGTTCCTTAGGTCCTTACAAAAGGATAGGAGGGTTGGGGCCAAGCTCACATTGAGGGGCAAGATGTTCCAAGGGCAGGAGCAACAGCAGAGAAGGCCCTCCTCCTGAACCCCAACAGCCAGAATAATTGGGCTGACGGGACCTGCAGCATGTTTCCTCTGCCAGCATGAGGGGGATGGGCCAATCCCAGTGGAGTGAGATGGTCCCTTAAGTAACCTGGACCCATGCCATGAATCGCTTTACCGGTGATCGCCAACATCTTGAATTGCACCTAGAAGTATACTGGTAACCAATGCAGCTTGCGGAGCAGTGGTGTTACTGGGGCCATTCTAGCCCCCCCCCAAATTACTTGCACTGCCGTACTCTGTATCAGTTGGTAATCAAATCAGTATTATTGCAGGTGACTATTTGCTCTAGTAAAGTTGTCTCTTTTCGAGTCAGTTGCAAAGACTGACATGGTTCTCTGGAATTACTATACATCTTAAACATACCTTAGTGCATATTGTAAAGGAATATAGAACAGACCCTGTGCAAGGTATGAATGAAGCATTGAAGAAGGATTTATGAAAGAGATTGCACAGTCCGGAGACCAAAGGAAGTATGAGAAAGAATTCAACATAATCCTTCCTTGATTTTGTATACTGTAGTATAAGAAAGTATAAAACAAAACTTGGACAGGCTTTTAAAATTGGTATTACACTCCACTACAATAGTATTCCTGCAATCCTTGTAGTATGTGTTTTTTTGACCAGCTTTACCTGGAAGAGCTGACATCAATCTTGAAACTGTTTGTTGTTATTCTTACTAGTACATACCTTTCAATTACAAGCTGTACTGCATAAAAAGATTGTACAACAGTGCTGAGATCATATTACGGGATGACTTAAAGAGAAACTAGGCCATGTGCTGTAAACTGCAATACAATAGCAGTGGAGAAATCTGCCTATTCCCTCCCACCCCGGGCTTAACTGTTGGAAGTTTTAGTAACTATTGGATATCTGATTCTCTCTCTTCTCGACGAATCCTATAATTCTGATTTAAGATGCTGCCTTCATATTCAGGCTTTGACTAGTTCATTTTCTGCTGATTTAGAGCAGAATTTTATCTATGTTAACACAAATATTTTGGCTCAATCATACCTCTGAACTGAATTTTTTTTAGTTGCACCCATCAAAAGATTCTGAATTTAGCTGCCCTTTCTAAAAGGCCTATAAAACCAGTAGCCCCAATTGAAGTTGAAGTTCTTCACCCTGTAGGTTGGAACTCAGTTCCACTGAATTTGGCACTGTTTGAGAAGATATACATAGGATTTTGCTGTTCAACTTATTTTTAGTAAGTTCTAATTTAATTTAGGGATAGCACAATATATTGTCTCTAGGAAAACATCAGGGCTACTGCTCTAAAAGTCAAAGACTTTGATAAAAAGGACTCCTGGCGAATTGTATCTATGCAGTTTTCTTGGCAGTATTAGGGACGTGGCTTGTCATTACCTTGTTTGGGGATTATATTCTTGGATTTTCTGAGTCCAGTCAACATTACTAGAATTCTCAGGACATTTCTCATCCTCTGACCAGAGTTGAACTTGTTTAGCTTCTGAAATCAGCCATAGATGACTCAGTGGCTCCACTTGCTGAGGCATACCATCATGTGGCATCTGTGCTTATTCATAAGGGATTTGACTTCTCATTCCCTTTTAAAAGTACATAAAAAATAATGACTCATCATAAGATAGAATGATTAAATGTGTGTTTCCCATTTTTCTCAATATTAGGTCTTTGAAAACACTTTCCCTTGAATAAATTTTATTCAAGACAGTAAATTTTACTTCAGAAGAAAGAGATCCTGGATTGTATTGTGATTCTCTGTATTATGAACATGGGACTCCACAAAAGTTAGAGTCCTGAACAAGGGACCACAGTTTCCTGTGGTAGGAAAATTCATGGAATGAAATTTAAGCCATAGAGGCAGTCTTTTGCTTATAACCATTTGTTTAATAACAGTTTGAAGTTATGATGGCCCTGAAGAAATTGACTTATGATCTGTCCATGAAGTTATGACCATAATCACGTTATCGCAGTTCAGGCACTTGGCAACTGGCTTGTATTTATGATGACTGCAGCATTCTACAGTCACATGACTTGTGCCCTTTCCAGCTGGTTTCCAACAAAGTCAATATGCTGGCTCAGGAATTCTGGGAGTTGAAGTCCACAAGTCACAAAAGAGCCAAGATTCCCCACCCCTGCAACAGGGGAAGCCAACAGGGAAGGTTGCAAATCACAATCACGTGATATCTTGCTTAACTACCATGGGAAAAAAGGCCATAAAATGGAGAGCAGCAATGTGATGCCTCAGTTAATGACTATGCTGCTTAATGGTGAATTTTCTGTTCTCACTTGTGGTTGAGGATTACCTGTACTGATTAAGGAAAAATTCACAGATTGTTTATTATCCTCTGCAATCAGTATATATATTGAGTGTGTCTCAGTACACAGCATGTATCTTCAAGTTGATCGGATGTAGTTAACAGTACTGTATGATGGCTGGCAAGACAATCTTTTCTGTAGAGTATAGTAGAGATTCTAACCTGCAGAGAATTGCAATAACTTTCAGAGTAAGTGGTAAAAAGTTAATTCACAAATGAAATAATATATAAGTTGTGTGTTTATGAAACTAAGACATAGGGAAAAGATGTAATAGATTTGAATAGTGATATGATCTTGTGGAATGGAGTTGATATCTTTAGGGGAGTGAAGGTGCAGGTTTTATTTTGAAGGAAAGAGCTAATGTATGTCTAAATTGCTATGTGTTTAAAAGTAGGAATCCATAGCTTGATGATAGCCTCTTGTTACATTCCAGTGAATGATGACAATCACAGTAACCATATTTTCTTGGAAAAAATAAAGGGGCAAGGCTAAAAAAGAGGAAAAAATCTGTAAGAGTTTCATAATGCTAAAAAACAGTTCTTTAGGTTTAAACCAAGAACAAACCCAAAACAATAAATAAATGAATGAATGAATGAATGAATGAATGAATAAATAAATAATCCAAGGGGCAGCTTTCTGAAATAAAAGACTGTCCTTTATGATTATTTTAGCTGTATATTGCCCAGAGTCATTCTGTGAGTGAAGGGTGGTATCTGAATTTGACAAATAAATAATAAAGATGTACTGTATATGGCCACTGTAGTGATAATGGAAGAACCAGG